CAACTTTGTGTCCTTTCACACTGTAGTTTATGCAGTTAGACAGCTGCTAAACTCATACTTCCTTTTATATCATTTCTATACTAAAGATGGGACATAAGATGGGGGATATGAGTCTGGAAAGTGGGCAGTTTTGAAACTCTAATAATATTAGTCATGCTAAAGAGAGGGTAGAGGTAAGAGTCAAAGCAGATGCATTAGTCTGTCCTTTCCAATAATTTTAGAACCACTCTAAAATCAAACAAATGTCCATCTATGCAGCCATGAGCGGCTCCTTTCTAGCACAGCGTTAGCATATTCATGCATTCAGGTCAGGAAATGCCTCTGAAGATTCGGATGATAACTGTGCACTATGTTCTGGTCTTTTTCTCGAATAAAAAAGGCCTCCGCTGCTATCTGGACCCTGATGGGAGGCTTCCTGTGTGACTCTGGGATGGTGCAACTCCCGATCAGACAAACACACCATATCAGGAATGGAAAGAGGAATTTCAGCTTGTAACATTTCCAGACACGTGGATGTAGCTGTACAGTAGGTTGATCCTGAGTAACGCCAGCATCCTGCATACATTTAAACCAAAACAACACACCTTAATAATTGCAGTTAATCTGAAAAAATAGTGCATGCTGGGGGATGGATCCTGCCCCGGCTTGTTTGTTTGAGTAAATGACATCTTTGCGTGTTGAGACCGGCCAGCATTCGCAGTGCAGAGTGTCTTTTGTGTGTCTGGTGGGGAGATAAAATATGAAAAACAGGATGATTTTGCTGCTGAAAGGAATTGTGCTTCTGAGGCTGGAGAACATCCACAGGGTTTGACCATCTTCTCCTCTGTGCCTCTCCACTCGCAGATGGGAACAGACTGCATGTGAAAGTTGTAAATCAAGAGCAGCGGCCCACGTTTTTTGTTTCGAAATTGCTTCGGCGCTGCCTCAACTGTCAGCACATTTATTCTGACTAATCCACCCTGTCCCTTTGGCTCGGTTCTTCCACAGACTGCATCTCTGCTGTCACACTGTGTCCTGAGCCTGCTGCCTCGCCAGATTTCCTGTTAAAAAGATTGCAGTGAATCAGGTTTCTGAGGCTCATTAGTTAGAGGCTATTAGTGCGCCTATTATGTGTATGCATGTACAGCCTGCTGCGTTCCTGTGTTGTCTGTTAAGGAGGGAAAATGGAAGAGTTTGATACCAGTGTTTTCCAGACTTGTGAAGATATTGAAAAATATTAGCACTTCCAGGTGATTTCTTTTCTGCCTCTATTTCTTGCATACTTGCTGTCTTTCTGTCTCAACTTATGTCCTTCATTCTTTCCTCATGTCCCACCTTACTTCTTTCCTAGCTATCTTCCATCCTTCTCTCAATTCAATTCAGTTTATTTATATAGCGCCAATTCACAACACGTCATCTCAAGGCACTTTACCGTTCAACCAAATCATACAGTCAAATTGATTCAAAGTTTTCTATCCAAGGGAAACCAGTTGATTGCATCGACTCATTGACTCCAATGCAATCCCTCACACTTAGCATGCTTGTAGCGACAGTGGAGATGAAAAACTCTCTTTTAACAGGAAGAAACCTCCAGCAGAACCAGGCTCATTGTGAGCGGCCATCTGCTGAGGCCGACTGGGGTTCAAGGAGACAGAAGCAGAGATACAAAAAGCAGCTGTAAAAGGCAGACCAGTACAGGAAACACACAGCCATACAGACGAGCACCGAGCCAACTCCCATGTCAGAGGATGAAGAGAGCAAATCCAGCCAGTCACGTTCAGAGAAACAGGACTACACTGGAAAACAGGCTGAGCTCCAGCATCTCCTCCCTTGTTTTTGTGTCTGTCTTTGTGTCCTACATTGATTCCTTCTTTACCTCCTACCTCCCTTCATGTCTGTCCTTTGTGCCTTTGGTCCTTCCTCATGGTCTCTTATATTTCTTTTCCTCCTTCCTTCCTTGTATCCTAGCGTGGGCCATCCCTTGTGTCCTACCTTCCTTCTCTCTATTTCACTTCCTTCATCTTTCCTTGGGTTTATTTAGCTTGCCTTCCTTTCCTATAGTCTTTCTTGTATGCCATTGTTTCCTGACTCTTCTCTTATTTATGTTCATGCTTCCTTTGTTTCCCTCCGTATCTGGTAGCTTTCCTTCCTTGTGTCCTTCCTTCCTTTCTTATGGCCTCTCTTCCTTTTTACTTTATTTTTTGGTATCAGACATTTATAGGGAGGTTAGTCAGGGCAACAGTGGCTGTTTTGTTGTTTTTATTTAAATCTATCTTCCTCATTTTGCATATATTTGATTTTTTTTTAACTATTACAATCTTTTCCTTCTTTATTTTAGTTCAAAGTTAGGCTTATTTAGTATTTTTAATTTGGATGTCATGGAGGAAAACTCTGTAAAGTTGATTCTGGAAAAGTCCAGAGTTTCACCTGGAAGCCTGAGCTTGTACCCAGCAGGATTTCTGCTCTCATTCTGGCTCTGGGCTGCTCTAAACAGAGTTTCTCAATGTGACGTTGCTGAAGCAACAGTCTGAACATGCATTCCAGCACAGTGATGTGAGATCTACTGCTGCAGGGAGGATTTCCAGAGGGGCTGAGGTCATTTGCTGAATACTAACTCAGTGGTAGTTTAGGTTAAAGGTCATTTTTTACCTGCTTATCGTGTTGGTTTTAAGTAGTTTTACATCTACAGGATGAGAACCTGCTTCTTAGACTATGTTAGATCAGCTTTTTGTGTTTTTTTTTTTCTTTTTTACATGAAACTTTTTTTCTCCTGCTGCACAGAAGGCTTCAATGTAAAACCTGTTTCTCTTTCTGTATGAATGATACCCACCCATGAGGCAAAACAGAGTGAGCATTTACCTTGCAAACGCTATAGGAGCCACACCCAGACATTTTCAGTTGATCCATTCATGCCACAGGAGGTTTTTTCTCCTGGGCTGCCCCCTGCTGGAGCCTCCATACTCGGCTGGTTTGGGACTGACTGTGATTTACAGTGAGTGGCCCCTTTATTACTTACATGGTGACGTGATGCACAATCTCTCCTGGGAAGCTGCAATAAATGTTTGTCAGCAGACATGAAATTAATTGGAAAATGTTTGCTTTCTTGTCTAGTTTTACAAATCTATTAAAACCATGTATTGATGCACACAGCTCCCTCTGCAGCCCTGCTACATTTAATAAAACGGACCAATCAGAGCTGCTGTGTGGTGGCAGTTCTTCTCAAAGGAAAACCTCAGACCATAAAGGAACTGATGTGGTCATCCAGGGTTTATTCCCACCAGCCTCTAAATTATTCACCTCTTGATTTCCTTTATTTGCATTTTATGACCCTGCAACCTCAGACCTCTGTATATTTAAATCAGGATTTCTTTTATAGACCACCACAAAGAAGTGCAGAATTAAAATTGATTTTATTTAATTTTTTGACATGTAAATAGTGAAATTTTAGCTGCGAATTTGTTTCAGTATTGCCAATTCACTAATTGTAGATCCAGCTCTCCCTTTAATCGGTTTATTGCTGTATGCTTCTAGGAGCTTTCGAACTCAAAGACTTGGAGTTTTTATCTTTGAAAATTAGCTCAGAAAAAAATTGAATGGAGGCCATATTTAGAGATCAGGTTTGAGGTTTTGGTCTAGTTTCTCAATTACATTAATCCTGGACTTTGACTAGGCCATTTAACACATCGATATGCTTTGATCTAAACCACAGTGGCTCTGACCTTTTTGTTCAGTAAGAATGTGAACGTCTGTATTTATTTTGCTTTTTTTTCTGATCGCAAACAGGACTTCTTCCATAAAGGTCCAATTAGTTTACTGCAGCTTTCCTTCAAATAATTAGTTTGGTGTTGAGGTCATTGCATCCCACACCTCCCTTCCTTATCATGTTATTTTTTTGAAGCTTCTGCTCCACTTTCCTGTAAGACCTCTTAGCCTTTCTAATCAGTACCTTGAGTTCTCCTTTTTCTGTGTCTCTGTCTCTAAATAGCCTCTTTATTTTTCTTCTATGATATTGCTAGAGATCCATGACTTGTGCACGTTTATTGTGGGAACAACAAGGTCTGTGCACAGATAAAAATAGTCTGTTATACAATAAGTTAACTCCTCAGTGTCCTCACCATGGGTCTGACACAGAAAAAAAAATCAAAGACGAAGCTCTCCGTCAGACTTCATGCGCTCCACTAATCGATTCCTTTGTAAAGACTACATACTCATCACCCCACAGCGGCCCGCTGGATGTTTAAATTTCAAAAAGGCGGTTATTATTCAGATCAAAGATCTTTTACTACACATTAAAGGTCATGCTGCTTTAAAAAGTCTTATTTTTCACTGAGAATCTGAAAGCTAAAATGTTTGGATAAACTGTCTAGGATACTGAAATTCAGCAGCAGAAAGCGAGGTGGAATGAAATGTTGAAACGTTGAAAATGGCCAAATGTCCGAAACTCTGCCTGAAAAGCAAGAGCGAAAACGGCTGAGCAACCCGATTCCACAAAAATAAAAACTTGCTGGCCTTTAAAATATTGGTAGAAGCTTACAAAAGGCAAGGCAGAGAAGTCATTAGCTGAATTAGGTTAATCTACAGTGGAAATAGCTGTAATTATTGTCAAAAAATAGCAGGTAGTTGATCTGCTACAATAGGTGTGTATATAAGCTTTAAACTGATAGTAGGAGCTTAAAAATAAATATGTGAATTTTCCAAATTAGCAGAACCAGAAAAGCAAAAGCAAAACTGTAATCTGATCTAGATTTTAAAAATAATGTTTAGCTAAAAATGACAGAACCTGGAGGATGACTAAAAAAAAAGATTTACTGAAAGCTAGTCAGAACTCTAAACCAGTTCTTCAGTAATTAAATATCTAACAAATGCATTATAGTTTTGGTCTATAAATATATAAGGTAACTTGATTGAATACCTTAAAGAAGCTGAGGTCTTGCTCTAAGCAGACATTCACTTTTAACCTGCTGCTGCTGCCCTCTGTTGGTTTGCAACATAACATTTCTCCCATCTTCATCATTTCTCAGGTGCTTCGAGGCGCTGGTGATCTACTTCAAGGCAGGCAAAAAGGAGGAGCCTTATGTCACCCTAGCCAGGAAGATCAGCCTGGAGAAGGATATGGAGGTCACCAAGGAGCTGGAAATCGGGCAGACGGAGCGGATGCTGGCCACACACAGGAACGCCTTCAAACGCACCGCCGTCATCCAGGCTTTCCTGGGCTCCACGCCTCAGCTGACGCTCCAGCTCTATGCAACTATCCAGGAGAAATATATCCTCTCTACAAGATGTAAGAAACTCTTCTTTATATTTTATTTATTTCTACATGAGTGTTTTGCTTCTTTATTTTTGGCAGAAATCCAATTTATCAGTATTTATGCACTAATTTGGGGTCTTGATTACAGCTTTTATGGGCAGGATGAGTCTTTGTGTTGTATTTTATTAGTTTTTAGTTCAGCATTTTGGATAGAAGTCTTTAGTCAGTTACTTTCAGAAGACTTTACTTTAAGATTGTGAGCTGAAAGACTAATAAAAGGCTTGTGTCTTCCACCAGTTACAGACGTCTGCTTGCTGAGAATCCAGACTTCTAATTTCTAAACAGTTCTTTGACGTTTAAGACGTTTGTGGACATTTCTAAATCTCTTCCACTTAAGCCTAAGACTGTTAACAGCTTCAATGATCCTCTTATTTTATCCATTCCTTTGTCACCTGTTTACAGAAATTATTTCCTTGACACATTCATTCTGGATCCCTTGAGATAATCCACAACAGCTACCAAATCCTAATGAACCAAAATAGTCCCAGAGCATAACGCGTCCCCCACCGTGCTTCCCAGGTCCATACTTCCGGTGTATTCATGTAAGGTTGTTTTGAACAGCAGAGTTTAAAGCTGAAAGGTGCAAATATACCTTATGATGCGTCTATGTATGATTTGTTAAGATGAACAGAAACTGAAAGAGAGAGCACAGCTTTTAGGGTCAGGGTTCATTTTGACCTGAAGATGGTGCCAGAGGAGAGGTTTTTATTAATCCTGATTTAAAAGTAAAAGCATGGTAGTGATTTTGGATGTGAGCTGGGTTTCACATTTATCATATTTTAAATACATTGTGGTAAATCAATCAAATATTTTAGCTTTTTTTCTGCTTTTAAATAGGTATGAAAATCAACAACTGCCTTTAAAAACACATTGAACATAATATGAAGCAGCGCCACAATAAATGTAATGTCCCACCTACTCTGACACTACTGAGGACTAATCTGAGGACATTCAAAGATTGTGATCTTTGACTTTTTTATTAAAAAGGTGAAATTAGATGTGGAGCATCTGCAAACTTAGATTTTAACTCATTCCTGTTGGTTTTAGATCTAGACTGGAACATTGTAATCCATGAATATGCTTATAATTAATCCGTCCTTTTTATGTATTTTTCTATAGTTGATGATTTTCCTACCAGAAGATGAACCTTCATCCTGGTCTGCAGGGCTTTTTTGTCTTTTGTATTTTCTTGCAGGCTTGAACTGTTATTGTTTTAAAGGATTTTCCTGTATTAAGCTCCATCTATCTTTACATCAACTGCTTCCATCATCTCTGTTCCCAGCAGGAGGAAGTATCTCCAAAGCATGATGCTGTCACCACCATGTGTCAGCCTGGAGGTGGTGTGTTCTAGGTGCTGTCAGTGTTAATGGGATCTTTGTTGACCAAAAAAAATGTGATCATTTTGTCCCATCTGATTAGAGCACCTTCTTTCAACCCCTTCGCTCTGTTTATCTTGGGCCTCTTGGCTCCTTATCTGATTAAAAGCTTTCTTGCCTGGCCTGTTAGTTTGAAGTGAAGTAAAAGGTTTAAAAGGTTAACACTTTTGTTTCAGATCTTCCATTCAGATGCTGTTTATAAATACAACATATTTTATTTTAAAGTTTTAAAACCATAAATCGCTTTTCTTTGATGTTCTGCACTACTTTCTTTGGACCTATCACACATTAGTTCATGGCTACCAATGGAAACTGCTAAGAAGAAAAGATAAAGACCCAGTTTAAAAGAAGCAACAATGAATGTGAGGTGGAAAGTTTAAGAAATGCGTTTAGTAGCTAGTGTGACAAATGAAGGAATTATGAGTTGAATGCATAATTGATCATATTAATGATCAATTATGCGATCAATGATGCCATCATAGATGGTAGGCAGTGCTACGTTAAAAGCTGAATGTCATGTTTCAGCTTTATAGATCATTTTACCGAATGATTTGGTCCCTAAAAGTGACTTCAGGAAGATGGTTTATCGTTTATTTTTGTTTAATAACTGTGAGCTAATTCATGCTGGTAGGATCCTGCCTGTTTAACCTAATATTCTAAAAAATCAAAAATAAAGTTGAATATTTGGCTAATCAGCCCTCCATGGTATCTTATTAGTGTGAGGAAAACATCCCTCGACTATAGCATTGTTAAAAACATCATGAAACCTTTGAATTTAAATCGAAGCAGGTTATGAATTTATTATATATATATATATATATATATATATATATATATATATATATATATACATACATACATACCAAGCATAGTTATGGCTAATCAGTCCCAGCATGCATCACTCTGGGGTGATATATGCTGACACATATACTAAAATGATTGGCACAGCTAATAATCTCTTTTTGAAATAATACTTTCATTTCTTCTTAGGCGGCTATAGTTTAATCACAAGGCTAGGCAATAATTATTGAATTATTATTGATATTATTTGGCTCCACACACTTTGAGGAAGCTGGCTGGAGGCTGGGTCGGAGAAAAAAATGTCCATGATTAGAAATCGGCAGGGGTCTGCAACCTGAGGTTTTGGAGCCAGATATGGCAGGTTGGAGCCTTTAATGGTAGATAAAAATGATTAAAAAAGAACTTATTGTTGGCTAATACCAAATATCAGTCTTAAAAGATTTAGTTTTTTTTAATACAGAATATTGTAATTGAATTTTCACTGCAGAATGACACTAAAAGCATCAGACATATGTTTTATGAGCGAATTTTCATTGCCTTGCAGCAAGAACATCAGAGTTCGATTTTCGGCCCGGCTCTTTCTGCATGGAGTTTGCATGTTCTCCCTGAGCATGCATGGGTTCTTTCCGGGTACTCCGGCTTCCTCCCACAGTCCAAAAACATGACTGTTAGGTTAATTGGCTTCTAAATTCTCCTTAGGTGTGAGTGTGTGCATGAATGGTTGTTTGTCTCTGTGTTGCCCTGCGATAGACTGCCGACTGGTCCAGGGTGGACCCCGCCTCTTGCCCATAGACAGCTGGAGATAAACACCATCACCCCTCGCCGACCCTGCTTGGGACAAGCGTGATAGAATATGGTTGAATGGATGGATATTACCATGTATTTTTTTTATATCAAATAATACCCTATAGAAGAAAATACATGCTTCATCTGATTGTTTAAGATGACAACAAACTTCCTCTGGCGGATATTTAACAAAGCATAATTAGTGATGTTTTATTAAAAAGACGTGTAATATTTTGTTTGGATTTTAAAAGTTGCAGACGTCTGCTCTAACCACTGTTTGGAAGTGTTGGTATTATTAGTAGATGAGTAGCACTTATCCTGACTAATAACTAAGTAAGATCCAGTAGAACCTCTGTGGGGGTTTAGAGGTGAGTGGGGATGGAGAACAGGACCTGAATCAAACAAAGCAAATCAAACTTTAACACTTCATCTAATGTTCTCTTAGAAGTTCTATGGGTTTTTTTTTCTTGCCTTGAGTTCCCGTGGTTTGTTTCCTGTGTTTCCCTATTTTTTTTGTTGTTTTTTTTAGCATGCAATGCCCTGCTGGGAACCTGACGCACCTATGTTTACAATAGGCTGTTGGCCAACTGAGGTTAAGCAATGTCTGATAAGGTCTAAAGCATCTTGGACTGATCTGATTGATTCGCCTTCAACAAAAAAGGTGTTTGGGTTTGTTTTTTTTTCCCCATTGCTGTGGGCCTGGATTCCTCTCCAAGCTGGAAAACAATGATTCAAGGATTTTCCAGGTTTGGGGGAGAGTAGGAAAACACAGCCAAGAATGGTATGGAAAGATGTTAATGTATAATATCCAGTTGTCTAAATGCTGTCCTCTGTTCATCCATTCATGGATTTATACTGAAATGTTGCACTTTGAGAAAAGTCCCAAAAAGAATTGACCAATAAAATCAGGAAATTGAAATGAGAAATGTGTTGGAACTGGTTTATGTTCCTAGATGCTGGTTTTAAATGACCGACTGTGTGTGTGTGTCCGCAGTGGCTCTGATGATCATCACCCTGATCTCGATCACATACGGCGCCCTGGTCTGCAGCGTCCTCGCCATCCAGATCATATACGACAACTACAAGGTGCGGCTCCGGCCCGGTGCCTACCTGTGCATGGTTGTGTGGAGGGCTCTGGAGATTGCCACCCGGGTCACGACTCTGGTCCTCTTCAGCACGGCCCACACCCACTGGGTGATCCTCGTCGGCTTGGTCAACCTGCTCTTCTTCTTCTTCCTCCCCTGGGTGGAGTTCTGGGTCAGGAGGGGGACGCTGGCGGAGGGCGTGGAGAAGAACTTCTCCAAGCTGGGCACCACGGTGGTGCTTTGCATGTTCACGCTGCTGTACGCCTGCATCAACGTGTTCTGCTGGTCGGCGGTGAAGCTCGACTTCACCGACCAGGAGCTCATCGACAGGAAACAGACCTGGGGTCGCCTGGTCATGTACTACTCCGGGCGCTTCGTGGAGAACTTTACCCTCATCACGCTGTGGTACTTCTTCCAGTCGGACTTCTATGAGTACGTGTGCGCGCCGCTACTGGTGGCGCAGCTGCTCATCTGCTACAGCCTGGCGGTGCTCTTCATGCTGCTCTTCTACCAGTTCTGCCACCCCTGCAGGCGCCTCTTTAAGTACAACGTCCACGACTGCCTGCACTGTGTCTGCTGTAGCAAATCAGGGCGCCGGGCGGGGAGCCGGCGGGGCAACGTGCCGCCTTCATACTCCACAGCTGCCACCATGGTGCTGGTTTCAGAGGAGCCTCTGGCTCTGCTGGACCCTCAGAACTCGCTTCCCTCAGACATGGCCAGGCAGCTAGAGGAGTCGTCAGCCTGAAGGAAAATGCACCTCAAACTGAATAAATCTCTGCTGGATTTATGTGCTGCAGTCCTCCTTAGCAACACCTCGCATACATTTAGACTGAGACTAGATTTTTTTGTCAAGGACAAATGGGGTTTTCCCTGTCTAAAGGACAGGATCACTAGGTCATCCACAGTGGGCCCCAGCCTACTGAAGAATGTAGCACTTGGAGATATGCAGCGATGAACAAAGGCGGCTGTTTAGAGAGCAGCTTTGAGCCAGGTGTGTATGGGGAGGGGGGGTGTGTGCCAAGCATGCGTCTGTGAAGCATCGCAAACACTGACCAGGACAGATTCAGTTTACCTCCTCAGGGTTTCAATAATCCAGTTAAAAAAAACACACATTTGCACACATTTACATCGGCACTGATCTGACTCCTGAAAAAGCATGAAACTGAAATGTTACGCCGTCATCTCACGCCCAGATACCATCATGAACGGCCTTTTGTTATCCACAGCTCACTGCCTTTAAACGGGGGGGAATGTTGTGTCGGTGTTGCGAAACAAAACGTCGGAGCCATTGTTCTGGTGAGAAAGCGAAAGGTTGTCAGATAACTGTACGTGCCCTTTGTAACATAAGTTATTCACTAAGAATCTTCTTATTGTTGCATAAAAGAAAGATGGACACCTAATGAGCTTGTACTTTGATACTTTGCATGTTTTATTTTTTACGATTTGTCCTGTTTGTCATACAGTGCCTTGACTACTATTGCACTACTTGAATCTTAAATAAAGTAATAATTTCAAAAAAAGCTTTCTTTTTATTTGTAAGTGGATCTAAATTAATAAAAATGTCATTGAAAAATTTTGTTTGAGAAATTTCATAATTAAATTTATATATATAGATGAGATTCTAAGGGTTTATTTCTAAAATCTCATAAAGTAAATATGACCTATGATGGGGGGTGAATGTTTAGAGAAGGTCATTACTGAACAGAGGCTGATTTCTAACAATGGTAACGGAAAGGTAATTGGAAGGAACAAATGTGACCTGCTATAGCCTGGCATAAGAAAACACAAGATGTAATATAGAAATCTCAATTTTCTTTAAGTCCATACATGGTAAAAATATGAACCTATAAGCCTTTTTCTCTTTTTTTTTTTTGTCAAATATTCTGTTCATTGAACATTTTCTCAACCATTTAACTTTTCTTACACAATTTCTTGTTCTTCTCTTTTTTTCTACATGCTTTTTCCATTTAATTATTTTTTTCTTTGAAATAAACATATTAGCATTGAGTCAAAGGTGAAATTCATCCAGACATGCACATCAATATCATATCATAGCTGTGACTATTATCTTCTGCCATTCATTTTAACCATTCATTAATTCTTTGTATAGTGAAAATAATATTAGGACCACAGAAAACAACTTTTTAACTCGCACTTAAAAAAGCCAAACAGATTCTAAATTTCATGAAAAACTGCAACATTGGAGATCAGCCTGCGGGTCTGCTGAGATGTTATAGGAGCTCAGGATTCTTATATAGAAAAGCTTGTCTTCATTCTTAAATCAAATGTTATACTTTATACTCTTTAGATTCTCTTTAGGTTAAAGATAAATGATAGGGGACCTAAAATCAAGATTACTTTATTAATCCCTTGTGGGAAATACTTAATTTGCAGAAGACATGGAGCAAAATAAAATATAATAAGACAGAATAAAATAAGTAAAATTACAATCAACAGTATTAACAATGCTGCTCAGTATCTAAATTAATATTATTGCACATGGGTTATAGGACATTGTTCACAGTGAAGTAATGAGATAAGTAATGATCAGTGCCTATAAAAGCTAGCTGCACCTCAATCATATCAGATTGTGTGCCTTCTTTCTCCAAACTGGGTTCCAGACAAATAAAACAAAATATATATATATATTCCAAGATTCCCCTTACCCTGATTAAGTTCCTGTATGGTTGAGCCTGAAGCACTAACTGTTGCTGCTGTCCTTGTCTTAACATCACCAAACCTATGACCAAGCTTTGCTTTACAATTTGATGCACCTGTTTTCCTTCCACTAAACTTTCCACTGATCTGCATGGATATAGCAGCCAGCTTCTTAAAAAAATATAATTTACATTGTTTTTTTTTACCTGAAAACAATATTCCTTTTAGAACAAACCAAATCACCTACAAAAAATAGCTAAATAGATCAATAAATATTAAATGGCACCAATAAATGCGTCACCGGATCAGGGTAAAGTCTCCATGGGATCTCAGTTTATTTCCTCATTCTCTCAGTTCAATAAAAGTCAATTAATGGCGGGAAGAAATGTGATCCTTCAGGCTTCCTCGGAACTTCCCGATCAGCGCAATTCCTCCTGCTGTGAGTGATGGGGACTGATGAAGGGAGGAGTCCCGCAGGTTGGAGCTATAAAGCCAGGGCGCAGCGGGCAGAGGATGCAGTGGAGCTGCTGTGAGCGAAGAAAAAGCTTTCATCATGGGGAATTGGTTTGTCAACAACTGGTTTTCAGCCGTCATGATAGTGAGTCAACTTTATAATTAACTATTTTCTATTATAACTGTTTTTATTAGGGATTTACGCACTGCTTTTTACGCACCTGATAAAACCGTCTTTTTACGCAGTGTGCATCATTTCTAACCACCCCTCTGCGGACCATCATTTCTAATAAACCTTATTTTTTCATAGTGTGTCTGGATGGGCATCAACATCTTCCTCTTTGTCTGGTTTTACTTCGTGTATGAGAATGGAGAACAGTTTTTCTACACCCGTCGCTTACTGGGGGTGAGTTCACTCCTGCACAGAAAATATATCTCATCTGTGACGCATATGTACATAGACTTTGCATCTTTTACACTTTTCATAGTGAAGTAAGAATCTGAATGAGAGGATTTGGAGTCAAGCTTAAAATAAAAATATATATTCATGCATCTCCTCAATAACAGCCTGTATCAGCTTCTTTAATTGTGTTTTTATCCAAACAGAAATTATCTGATTGATTTGATTGATTGAGATTTAATGGTGGGCTTCAGCCCATCTGCATCAGGCTCTGATTTCTCCCACCTTGACAATAAAGCTTGTCAGCAAAGTAGGAAGATCTCTGAAAAGTCCTACTGGGTTTGCTGCTAAAGATTCTCACACATCTAGGTCATAGTCATTCCAAAAAAGGTAAAAAAAAAACTTTTTTGGAATGATGAAACTTCTCAGGATGGGAAGCGAACCGTCTTCAAAATGGGAAATAAAGTCCAGCGGAGTGTTTTTTTTTTTTTATACTTTTTTTTTTTCCTGCTGGGTGGCTTTGCTGGCTTTAATCTTAAAAAGATTAGATGAATGCTGCTGGATGCTTTCCCTAAAAAGAACTGGGACCCCTGAGCAGCGTTTCCATGTGTTTCATAGACATGGGCCAGTTTATGTTGCAAATTTACAGAACAAAAATAATCATAATAATAATTCGAGTTTATTGTTTTTTTAATAGTAAAGTACCTGACTGTGCAGAGCTTCCTCCTGCTGTTTGTGAACTGCCGGTCAGCTTGCTGAAAGAAAGCGACTGCATTTTGGTCTCATTTTAAACAGGAATTAGGATGTGTGGAAATATTTCCAATCAGAAAAAGTAAAATAAATAAACTAGGGAACTTAAAAGACAGTGGTGTCAAACCAACAGAGAAACACGTGCAGATATTTAGGCTAAGCTGACAAATAATTACTATATTTACTATAAAACTATTCCTAATCTTTGTTTCTATGTTGTATTTTTGCTTAAAGGTATAATGTAGGATTTTCACAAATTTTTGTAAATACCTGCCCTCTACACTAAAAAAAAAAAAAATGCACATGCACAACCCAAGAGGGAACCGCTATTAACCGCATGCAAGAGCATGCACAAGCTTATACAAGCTTACTTTCTAAAAGAAGATTCGCCATTTTTTCACTATGTCAGACTCACCATCCGTAAGTGAAAATGGGGACAGGGACGTAGGATGGCGTTACGTAAACATATCACAAGAATGAATCACAATTAGGAGGACCAATTATTTTGATGATCCACCCTGAAAAAGATCATCCTCCACTATACCTTTACGTCTTTGTATCAAAATCACGATCGAAACTTTGCCGATCGACTATTACACAATAAACGCTTTGTTAGATGGTCCAAATAATTGTTGCAGTTCTATTTTAAATAAAAGCCTTTAAAAAAATCTCATTAAATTTAGCTTAAAATTCTGAGTTGACACCATGTTAGCATTACATCATAGCGTTTAACTAAATTACTCTGCTGTAATCCTGGATATGTCTGTCTGTGGGTGTTGAATCCCCTTCGAGAATGTTCTACCTTTCGTTTACGTCTTCCTTCAGACCACCTTCCATTCTTATGATTGAGTCATGTATCAGCTGGCCTCTTTGTTTTTTTTTCATACAATGAACCTTATTGCAGCAATCCTAATGTTTTATGAAAGCAGGTCTGTGTTGCTATTATTTTTGCTCTATATTAGCAGAACAGGACGAATAGAATGAAAACATAAAAAATCAGCTGGCTTCTTTAGCAATGACCCCTGTCTGCAGTCTTCACCATCATCGTTCAGTTTATAACTTAGTCAGAATTTAGCATTTTATCTAAAAAATAATAATTATGTACTATTCAAGTGATCTGTTTTGAAGATGTGTTTTGCCGCTTACCTTACCTTGTAAAACACAATTATCATGACTGTGTTATGTTTTCTCAACAGTCTGCCCTGGCCTGGGCCAGGGCTCCTGCAGCCGTCCTGAACTTTAACTGCATGCTCATCCTCCTACCAGTCTGCAGGAACCTGCTGTCTCTGCTGCGAGGCTCCTTTGTGGTAAGATTTTTCTTTTTGCACATCTTTCCTGTCTCATACTTTTACACTAAAGGCCACATTTACTTGGAGGAACGCAATGCCAGATGAAGTCTGGAGAATGTTCCACCTTAAATCTCATAATTTTGATCAAATGACTCAAAACTTGTCCTTTTTTTTCCTGCATGAGTAACACATTAAAAGGTGTGTCCTTGTTTAGATTAAATGAAATGGACCCTGCAGGTTTTCATAAACTGACTTTGACATTAATAGACCTACTGCTGAGAAACTATACTTTGGAGGAAATCCAGAAAAAAAAAACACGGCTTCCTGCTTTTCTTTATCTTGTGCAGAAGTGCAGCAGAACAATGAGGAAACAGCTGGACAAAAACTTGACTTTCCACAAGCTGGTGGCGTACATGATCGGCGCGATGACAGGTGAACTCAAGCGTTAATTTCTGCATCAGTACCAATGCTTATTTAAATTCTTTATTAGCTCTTTGAAAAAAAACACACCTTTGACAGATGAATTTAGGGATCAGTTTAACATTAATACCAGGAAAAAATGTTTTCTAAACAATATGAGTTCTTTATGCGCTGAAGTTGAAGCTGCTATTTAAGATGCTTATCTGGCCTTTCTTTTTCTCACAAACCCACAAGGAAATAGAAGTGAAAACACTTGTTCTTTGTTAACATTCCTTTGTTTTATTTGTTCCGTTTAGTTTGCTGAGAATGTTGTGCATGTATTCGCTGTTATTTTCATACAGATATCAACTCTATATTATCGTGGCTGCCTGTGCATTTTAGAGTTGATTTTAACATTTTTTATTTATGTTTTTAAGTGCCTAAATTATTATGTTTTTAAGTGCCTAAAAACCTTGCTCTTTCCTCCCTGAGCTTCTTCACCCCTACTTGCCTCCTGGTCTCCTCAGGTTAGCAGAACAACAGCTCCTGCAGGTACCAAGGTTTAAGGGGAAGCTCAGAGGAGGCTTCTCTATTGCTGCTCCTCGTTTATTAAATAGCCTCCTGCTGCTTATTAGGGAGACTCCTTTCCTGCCCAATTTTAAAACTTGGCTCAAAACGTACTTTTATTCACTAGCTTTTAACACTGGTAGGACTTAGTTGTTATGACCCTTTTAATTTAGCCTAAATAAATTAATATTATTGCCTTATTTTTTATTTTTATGCTGTATTTTATTATTTTATTGTGTTTTATTATTTGTAGCTATGTTCATCACTTTGTTTTCAGCTGTTGTAAAGTTGCAACTAAGTTGTAAAGATGCAATTTAGATCAAACTTTCTTCTATGCTAATACTTTATGTTAAAAAAGTTAACTGGTGTAAAATTAAAGAACCACAGTTATATTATTTTAGGGTTTAGACATGGAAATTCAATACATTTTCATATTTCATATGAATGTATTAATTTGGCAATATCAGAGGGGGAAAGTGCATGAAATGCATTTATTTTCTGGCTCAATAAATGGACAAATAATGTTTCGAATACCTGAGAATTATTTGTGCAAACAGAGCAGTCATTTCTGCTGGCAGGTCAACAAAGAGCGAAACCAGTGACCTCTCCCCTCTCTGCTCCCTCAGCCGTTCATATGATCGCCCATCTGCTGAACGTGGAGTGGTACAGCAACAGCAGACTAGGGGTTTACGACAATCTCACCCTCGCTCTGTCCAACCTGGAGGACGACCCCAGCATGAACACCACCTTCCTGAACCCCATCCGCCAAATCGACCTAGTGAGTCCCTCACTGAAGCCCATAACATCTACACCAATGTAAAAAAAATTCGATAAGATAAATATAGAAAAATCTTAACTTTGCCATAAGGGAATTAAACCAATTTAAATTAGTTTTTTAACTGATTGACAGAACAGTCTAGTAGATTAAATAAGGTGGAGATGCGTTAAATCACAGCAAACCGACTAGAGGAGATCTTTGGTTCTGTAATCTAGCAGCTCGCATTAAAAACATAAAGAAACAACATTTATTTACAGCTAATTTCATATAGTTTAGTGAGATCTTTTTTGTTTTTTTTCTACACTTTTATTACTGTTGATATTTATCCTGTGTTGTTCTGCTCATAACAAATTCAACATGAGCTGCTCAATTGTGTGTTCTGGATTGATTTGCATGTCTTGTACGAAAATTGTAGCGTTTTTTTTTTAGCCAGCTAACCAGCAGTGCACAGCAGCAGGTTAGCTGGTGGTCACTCTGGAGCTTTGTATTGGTAACCAGCCAATAACAGGGCGGTAATCCTGTCATTTCCTTTATTCTCAGTGGCTGCAGCAAATCCCCACCTACTTTGTCTTCACGTCCATCGCTGGCCTTACAGGCGTCATCATCACCCTGGCTCTCATCCTCATCATCACGTCGTCCATGGAGGTCATCAGACGGAGCTACTTCGAGGTCTTCTGGTACACTCATCACCTCTTCGTCATCTTCTTCGCTGGTCTGGTCATCCATGGGATTGGGTAGGAGAGAAATTGCATTTTCTTCCTCTACTTCTGGAGGGTCGTCTGTATGAGAAACCAGATCTTATCTACCTGTCTCATCTGCAGGTTCGTCGTGAGGAAGCAAACAGATGATTCGTTTAAAAAACACAACCCCCTTTTTTGTTTCAACCGCACTGAGGATTGGGGAAAGATCCCCGAATGTCCCGTCCCTCAGTTTAGTGGAGGACCTGCGCAGGTTTGTCATCGTTCACTTCAGATTTCTCACTGTTTCCAAGTTAAAACTTGTAACCATGGTTTTCCTTGTTCTATGCAGACCTGGTGGTGGGTGATCGGCCCAATGATGATTTACGTGTGCGAGCGATTGCTGCGCTTCATTCGCTACATGCAGAATGTGCAGTATAGAAAGGTAAAATACACTTTTTATATTTTCCTTCCTCCTTAGCAGCTGACCCACTTGTTTTACTAACTGAGAGCTGTGGGTAACAGATTGTGATGCGGCCGTCCAAAGTGCTGGAGCTGCAGCTGGTGAAGAAAGGCTTTAAAATGGATGTGGGACAGTATGTCTTCCTCAACTGCCCGGCCATCTCACAGCTGGAGTGGCACCCGTTCACCATGACCTCTGCACCGGAGGAGGACTTCTTCAGCGTCCATATCCGCTCGGCCGGAGACTGGACGGACAAACTCATCGACATCATGCAGAAGCTTCCGGAGGGAAGCCAGGGACCCAAGTAAGTCTTCTGATTGTACAGACAGCAAATAAACATGCTTAGATGTTAATATTTAGGAAGGAGACCAAATGGATACTATGTCTTGAGAGCTGTACTGAAATACATTTATTTTTGTATACACTCTGTGTGTACAATATGACAATAAAGTCTGTCTAAGTCTAAGTTATTATTAATCTAGATATTTTTAATCTATAATAGAATAGAAACTTATTTTGTTTGTTCTTTAGGGGGGGATTTTAGCTTTAAAAGCTGAGGGTAAAGAAAAAAAACTGTAAAAAACAGGTAAACAAGCAGACAAGTTAAAGAAAAAAGTTGCAACATAAGTAAAATTATACTTTACGGTTCAAAAATGTGACTGAGTTGGGTAATTTAAAAGATGCATAAAATGTGTGCTTATTTTGTACCCATAAATACAAAGAATGAGAGAAAAAATATATGTAAAAAAATAATAACAAATAAATATACCGGTATGTTCATATACCAGCTGGGATTTTAACTCTTATTGATTTTGTTTGGTCAGATTAACAGTGAGCCTCTGGCCATCAACTAGAAACGCAGCACAACCTCAGAGCGATCCACCCCTGTCCACATAGTCTAAGCACATGGCAATGGGGATAAATCTGATCTGGGTTTCACAAAAGCAAGCATGAGGAAGATGAACTTGAGCATGAAGACAGAGCTGCATTATGCTTGGAAGTGTGCAGTACTTCATTTTAAAAATCCAGTTGTTCCTGATCTCTGCAGAAGTGCAATAAAAACGCCGGCAAACGGGTTCAGCATCTCTAATTACGACGTCATGCTCCATGCTTCACTCGTTCCAAAGATTCTCCACCAAAACAGAACAGTTTTCTCTGTGATTTAGGACCCAGCAGCAGCATCCGGTTAGCAGGTCTGGAGGAGGGATGGAGGCGAGGGGGTTCAGCAAGTTAGGCAGCTGTGCTGCAGCAAAGCTTTTCAGAGCCTTAAAAAGAAGAAAACTGCAAAACTCAATCTACAATAAATATGCAGTCAGTGCAAACAGGTTAACAGCAGAGTGATCTGCTCACGTCTCTTTGTACCTGTTAGAAATCGGGCTGCTGCATTTAGTCAAATGGTAATATTTATTTTTTCATAACGATAATCAATAATAATTAAGAATAAAAAGGCAACTATTAAAATGTTAAATAAGATTATATTATAATGTTATCAATAAAGTATTTTTTAATTTAAGCGAAATAGATAAATTGAAGCTGTGACAAAGTGACCTGGCTAATTCCCGTTTAAGAAGAATTACATTAATCCAGCTGGGAGATTATAAAATGGATTACTGATTCCAAGTTACACATAGAGAGACGTGTTGGAAGAAAGAATGGAGAATCTCACCGCAGATGAAGTGAGGACTTCAAACTTAAGAGCTGCAGCTATTATAAATCTAAACAGAGAGGACACTGCTGAGAGATTGAGAGCTGGAGCACATCACATTTAAAGCCATCTATGATTTGATGCGACCAGGAAGGGGATGGAAAAAATGAAAATAATCTGCTCTCTGTCTCTTCAGAATGGGTGTCGATGGACCTTTCGGCACAGCCAGCGAGGACGTGTTCGACTACGAGGTCAGCATGCTGGTTGGCGCCGGCATCGGCGTCACTCCCTTCGCCTCCATCCTCAAGTCCATCTGGTACAAGTTCAAAGACAACGATCCCAAGCTGCGCACCAGAAAGGTGAAGGCACTCATAGTGTGACCGATGACACAACCCCCTCTTTATAATAAACATTTATAATAAACATTTTCAGAAATTACAAAAATCCCAGAAGGCGAAGCATCAGCCATTGTCTTTGACACACCATCCTCTGTTCACTGTTCTCAGATCTATTTCTACTGGCTCTGCCGGGAGACGCACGCCTTCGAGTGGTTTGCGGACCTTCTGAAGGCGCAGGAGAAGGAGATGGAGGAGAGAGGCATGGGAGATTTCCTCACCTACAAGCTGTTCCTGACTGGATGGGATCAGAGTCATGTATGAGTCCTAATCAGCCCTACAGAGTCTAGATAAGCAATCACTGTGATCGTTTCCTCATAAACTGATATGCTTGTCCTTCTAGGTCAATTACGTCACGGTTAACGTTGATCGGGACACAGATGTGGTGACAGGGCTAAAGCAGAAGACTCACTATGGCCGACCCAACTGGGACAAGGAGTTTGAGGAAGTCCGCAAAGAGAACCCTACGTGAGTAAAACAAATATTCTTTCGGCTCAGCAGAAATGTTATTAGTGAAACAGAGTTAAAGGTATAATGGAGGATTTTTGAAAAAAATGCACATGCACAATCTTGTACCCGCTCCCAAGAGTGAACGCCTATTAAACACGCACGAGCCCATTTCTTCTCGTGCACTCTCTGTTCAAGAGTGCTGTTTGCATTACTCATACAAGCTCACTTTCCAAAAGATTTGCAATTAAATTTTTCCACCATGAGACTCACCACAGGTAGTGAAAATAGAGATGAGCACGTAGGACGGCCTTACGTAAACATATCACCAGAATGATTGACATTTAGGAGGACCACTTATTTTGATGATCCACCCAGAAAAAAAACATCCTTCACTATAACCTCCAAAAATTATGGGGAATAAATTACTATAACTGCATGAAATATAATAAAAACTTGTCCCAAACCAAATTGGCCGATTTTCTGCTTCCAAACCTAGAGGACGTGCTGCATGTCCTAAAGAAGCTAAAGAATGTCCACATATCAGGCGCAGGGGAAAACAAGTCAAACGTTCTGTGGGCTTGTCAAAAGACCTTCAAACCTATTTAGACTTCACATATAACAGAATCATTTTATAAATAAATGTTTTTAAAAAATTGTCATTCTTAAAGAATCAACTGTTTCTATTTTAAAGGTTTAAAATAAAGTAAAAATATACATAAAAAAAGAGGACAGATATGTGGAAACTAAAAAATAAAAGCACCATTTCCCAATTAGAGAAGTAGATCTTAAACAACAGTATTGCTGCTTTCAGTTTGATTCTGTTTAAGAAATTAAAGGCTATGGTTCCATTAAAACAATGAAAAACTGCTTAAACTGCTTTAGATCTGTTTTTTAAGGACAGGTTGTAGACCCATGTCTTTTGGGGGTGATTAGTTTCTTTTCGTGATTTGGAAACTACTACCTGGGTTATAAAAAGGCAAAAACATAAAGGAACAGAGGTTGTTTCTTTCAGGGATGCAAGAACAAAATGTCTAAAAAACCCTCAGGGCATTCTGCACTTTAGTCATCTAGACAAATGAAAACTGATGTGAAGCGTCTGGTAAAAAAAAAAACCGTGGTGTTGTGGAGAAATAAATTAGCCTTTAAATGAACTTAATTTTTAACTACAAGTACAGGAGGAAACGGATAACTTTATTCTCATGTCTCCAAAATTAACATCTGAACTTAAGTGAGTGCATTTGATTGGTTGGGTAGTGATTTATGATATTAAGGTTTTTATTATAATGAGGCTATACTGCAGATTTGCATCCTGTAACATTCTTTGTTCATATTCAGGTCCGTGGTGGGAACTTTTCTGTGCGGCCCGGTGGCTTTAGCGAAAGTCCTGGAGAAGAAATGTGCCAAGTACTCCGACGTTGATCCTCGCAAGACCAAATTTTACTTCAACAAGGAGAACTTCTGAGCTAAAACAAAGGGATCATTGATGAAGGAAGGCGGATCGGTTTTGGTTGGTAAATTCCTGTGACACAGATCGTTAGTGACTGAAAAGGTGCACACTAACCTGTGCAAAGGGCAGGGACGGGTTTTCCACACAAATCCACTCTGACAAAGCAATGACATATTGTTGGTGATCAACATTTATCAGGGTTAAACTTTGTTAGAGTTAGTCATAGTGGTTTACAGTAAGCCAGCTGTATTAAAGGTTTACTGGATTTTGAGTTCCTGTTACCATGAAGTCTAATAAAATGTACAGTCTGTTTGTTATAGTGTTAAAATAACCACCCTAAATCAGCTGGGCTATGATGTTCTTAAATGAAGTTTTTTTTAATTGAAGTAGCCGTTTATATTCAAAGATATCTGTAGCAACAAAAAAAAATCTTTGGACTATAAATGTATTTCCTTTAAAAATCATGTCATTTCCTGCTTGATTTTTGTATCATTCTTTTAAAATACTGTTTCCCTAAATACACATTTTTGAAATCTGTAAATAAGAAAATAAAGTTTACAAATATGTTACAGTAAATGTTGAATTCTTGAAGTGTTTTAAACGCCTTATCTCCCCCAGCCTTTTATCACTGTGTAAGAAAGCAGCTTCCTGGAACAGGACAATGGAGCAATGATAAGTTTTCTAGTGTTTCCTTAATGCCTCTCACGTTCAGCACTTCCTTATTTTAGACAATGGGCAGGTTCACAAGGAAAAAGGCAGTGAACTATGAAACAGGTAATTAAAAATTGGCAGACTGCGATGTGTGGTATGTTTTCCTTTAAGAGGTATTTTTTCAAATACTTTGGATTAAAATGATGAAACCATTTTTTGTGCTTTAGTTTTATTGAAAAAAAAAAAAAAAACAGGTTTCCAGAGATTTGACAACAAGTTGCTTTAAAGCAAAAATGAGTTAATTGTCCATCGATTTAACCTTCTTCTGAACAAACGTCTGGATCAACCCAACACTCTTTACAACACTAACAAAAGAAAACATACAATAATCCAAGAGGAGTTCTAGCAGGAGGATCTTGAAGGGGCAGCCAGTCCTGCAACAGGAATAAGAATAAAAGAAATCCATCACACTGTCTAAATCAGAAAACAACTTCCTCCTTCAAACGTCTGAACAATGACGAGAAACTGCACCTTTGCCTTGTTGGAGAATCATGGTGCACCTGAGGCGGTTTTTTGAATCTGCTCTTTGAGGATGAGGATGCTCTGTCGCTGCTCTGGGGGCAGCATGGCGATCTGTTCTGGGGTCAGCTGCAGGACCTGCATGATCAGGGCAGCCTGGAAGGAGGAGGGAAGAAGATGAGTAAAGATAACTCGTATGGGAGCGGATGGAAAACATCAGCAGGAGAGAAAATGAAGCCCACCTTCTCCTGATCCTGTGTGGAGACCTGAGCCTGGCCTGGACTGAAACCTCCTCCAGATGGGGGGACCCCGGAAACACCTGGACCCTGCATGATGAGTCCATTTCAGCACAAGCTCAGCTCACTAATTGTTTAATTACCTTTTTCAAATGCTTCTACATCTCTTTGTTCAATTACCAGCAACATTCTGATATCCATCACCAGTTATAAAAGAGTAAGAAGTAAACAAAAGGGCTGCTACACAAATAATGTTACCACAGAAACTAAAACATGCATTTCCTGCAAGGATATAGAGAAAATGCTGAAGATGATCATCTTCAACTGGAATACACCTGAAAAATAACTACAGAGCTTAAAACCAAGCTGAGCAGCAGGATCATAAGATCAGCTTGTTAGTTTTTCATCTTCAAGTTAAGTAGCATGCTAGCTTTAGCTAACATGCTAACAAATACAAGAACAGTACAATGACTCTGCCGTTTGGGAGTGGGATGCTCCCAGTAAAAACATACATGGGTTTCAGTACTAAGCGTCATCATAGTATGATCACTAAAAAATACAACTTAAAACTACCAAAAAATAAATAAATAAATAAAAATGATCTTTTTAATTTATAGTTTGTAACAAACTGTATTAGTTTCATACATGCGGCATAAGCTTTCTGTTTTAACACCAGGACAAACAACTTCTATTATATATTTTTCAGAGTTTGTTTGATTCCGAAAAGGGAAAAATATATATATATTTTTTTATCAAAAAGATGAATAGTTTTATATACATTTTTTTTATCTACTCTGCCTAGCTAAATTAGCTAGTTTAGCATCTGCGCCGTAAAAGGTCCTTATTGAATACACTGAATATAAAACACCGCCCACTGACCTGACCATGTCATTCAATCTACAAGTGGCATCTATTCTCCTACATCTATGCTACAAGCAGAAGGTTAGTCTATACTAGATTGTGGTTTTATAATTACTACTGGCGTCAGGAAGAATTAGTAAACATTTTGGATTGTGGCTGTTAAATGTTGATTAATGAATTATTTCAGGGGGAATGCTCCAAACCAAACAGCTGATAGATATAAAGTTACCGCTCTTGCAGGTGGAGGAGCGTTTGGACCCATGGTATGAGGGACGGGGCCCTGCATTCCAGGCACAATGGGAACCCTCTGTCCCGTCACCGGCCCGCGAGCGTCCATTGCCCTCGGATCGCGGCCTGAGGATGAAATGTTTTAGGTAAATACAGTAAATGCAGCTCAATCAACAGCTGGTCAGCTACGACATTCGGTTTATTTATTTTCTCAAACTGTGATACCTCTGGGTTCCATTGGCGGCCCCCGTGGCTCCATCATCGGGGGTCCTCGTGGGTCAACCATCATGGTTCTCTGTTCAGGCATCGGGGGCCCCCTCATTTCAGGCGGTGGTCCTCCTCCCATTTGTGGTATATGTATGGGCGGGGCTTGGTGAGGCGGTGGAGCCGCCATGTAGGCCCGACTAAACACAAACACAGTTTCCACACCATGACTGGCAGTTTGTTTTGCAACTGAAAGCAATTTTAAGCGGCCAGGTATGGAAAATAAGTGAAGTTTTCAGGGTCACAAAACAGTAAAAAAAAAATCTCAGCAGTTTACAGAAATTAAAACACTTCCAGACTTGAGCTACATTTTCACCAACATGAGCAGTTTCCTAATTTTTTTTTTTCTTTCGTTTGTCCTTCTCAGCAGATAGGAGCACAGTATTTTACAAGGAAAGAAAAAAGGTGTTTTTATACGTTCAAAGGTAAAGATTTGTATAATTTCTCAGGTATTCATGTGGATTGGGTGAAGATTTCGTGGCTCTGGCTGAGTATAAAAACACCACAGAAAACCTGTGTTTGTTTTGTTTATGTGAAACCTATTTGTCTCTTTCGTAACAGGGTTAACCTCCCTTTTCTTCTGATCTATTCTTCATATTCTAGGGAATGATTAAACCTCCAGTTAATATGAAAACATTCTGATCGACTTGATGAGACGTTGCTCTGATCCACCTGCATAATTACCGGCTAGGGATGCCCTGATCAGACATCGATCTGTCAGATATCAGCCAGAAAATGAATCTTAGAATCTGTCATCCTGCATCTAAGATCTTGATTTTATCAAGTTGATACAAACGCTGATCTCTTTCTGAAAGTCTCACTCTGCCTTCGGTCAGCAAGCTGACCAGCAGTGAGTAGAAACAGGTTGGGGAGGAGCAGCAGAGTTAGTCCATGCTGTATGCTCACTCTCACACAGCGACTTTCCTAGTTTTAAAACCTCACTGGACCTTTAATGTACTGGAAGCCAGAGCGACCCTACCGTTTTAGAAGTGCCCAACCAGCAACATGAGGCGGGTTGACTCAGAAAAAATAGTTTAATAAAACAATACGATGATCTGGTTTCTATGATGTAATGGACCGAATAGGTGCAGACAAAGAATTCACCTTTACCGGGCGCGACTCCATTGTCAAGTATACTTTTAAAGCCACGAGTATTCACAAACTAATCCAACTTCATTTGTGCTATCAAAACAATGAAGTTAATCTTAGCTGCAGCAGTCAGTGACCTTGATGTGGGGGAAAAAAAATCCCCCTTTACTGCATCTCAGCTTTACTGGATCAGAGGTTAGACTGTCTTTGTCTGCCTGGAGTTCTGATATCTGCAAGTACTGAAATATAGGTGCTTGTAGTCATACTTAGTTTTAAGAAATCTGGCATTGGTGGCCCCTCAGGTGCAGAAATGGTCTTTTTTGTTTAATTACCAGTAAGATCAACTGGTGGGTTGGGCTTTGTTAATCTACCCCTTTCATACCAAAGCCCCTGCTGCTTTCTCTGGTTGATGACAGGACTCCTACAATCTGCGGCTGCTCTGTCCACAGGACTAAGTGATGTTCTTACTTGGGGTCAATAACTTCTCCCGTGACAGACAGTAGAGTTCCTCCTCTGGGATCATTGGGACCGTCGCCCAGCAGCCCTCTGGGTGGGATACCGCCTGGTCCTGAGCAAAGGAAAATAATTCAACATTTTTAAAAAGTGTCATGAGTAATCAGACATGGACTGACATGCGTAAAAGTGTTGGCTTCGACCTTTAAAACCAAGTAAGTAGACATTTTAGGGTGCGTGAAAACAGGTTTTCCTTCTATATGCAAATTAAGATTCCAAGTTCTTATGTAAAAAAAAAAAAAAAAGGGCAATCCAAAATAACCATGTCAGGACAACAGGCTGTAGCATTTTATTTGAACTAAAGTCATTTTAAAACCAACAGGCATGCAAATAAGATCAAGAAGTGAGAATTTTCCCCTGCATTGTATATGAAATGAACGAGGAACTGGTTTATTTTGCAAAAACACATCCGGCCTAATCATCTTCTTTGACAATCTCCTACATACCTCCATGTTATAGAATCCTATAAATAAAACATAATCAGTCAAAGTGTTCCTGTTTGATCGACCTCTTCTGCAATAGTCTCCCTTTCACTGTGATTAATGTTTACATTTGTCTCTTAGATCCTGGAAAAAACTAACTCTAAAGGTAAAGAAAAATCTCTTTGTTTTGTGGTGAAAGGGGTTGACTTTAGCTAAGCTAGTTGTAAGTAAATAAAGAAGCATTCAAAGGAAAATAAATGGACGTAAAAAGCTCTGGCTGCTGGTGTCAACTTGGCGTAACATGTCAGGAACAATCAGTGGAAACACGACGTGTCAACCACTCTAAAAAAGTAAATTTTCTAAATTCAGTCTGCTTGGAGCTGCAAAAAATACCACATAACATGTTAATGGTAGCTATATGATTCATCTCATTTGATTAAAAAGCTCAAAAAAAGACAGCCTTTTAGCTGAACAAGCAACAAAACCCAGAGGTACATCCTGAGAACAGACATCGCAGACCAGGCCCACAGCACCATGGATAAAAACAAACCATTCAACAGAGAACACTGAAGGGAATAACACTTGCTACTAGTATTTATGCTTCTCAAGTTGTCTTTTGGGAAATACATGTGTGCATTTATACATATTTTACTCTCTTGTGGAGAGGATTGTATAACCTGTTAAACAAAAGCAACAGCAATGATGATAAAGATAAAGCAAACAGAGCTCTG